TCCCTTCCCCTCAAGTTTGGTTTTGTGTACTAAGTGAACACTTTGGATGCAACTTGTCAAAAGACAGCCCTAATGGCGTATACCACTGATGTTTAAAGTTACGGCCCATGGGGCACTTCTGGCCTGAGCGCCCTGTTATTTGGCCCTTGGTGCTGCCCAAGGGACTTGATGTTGACTCACAGCCAGTATGTGGGGCGCATCACATGCCCCTGCACACAACATGAAGTGCCTACTCCAGCTACACTGCAACCATGTATCTTCTCTCCTGGATCCAATGTATGTCCTGAAGCAGCTAGGTATGGGTGCTGCTGTCCTGGAGTGGGCAGCACATGCCCAGAATGGTCCCAGAGCTTCTGGCATAGGCAGTGCAGTCCTAGAGTGGCAGGCACAGGTGCTGTAATGCATGTTGTGCCCTCTCCAGCTGCTCCAGAACATGTGTTGGATCCAGCATGAAGTAGGCCTGAACTGAAATAGGCTGAGCATGCAGTGCGGATCCAGAGCAGTTGGAGCAGGTACAGTGTGCAGCAGGGGCCTGGAGCGGGTGCTGCATGCAGCATAGTCCTAGACCAGCTGGCCTGGGACATACTCCAGGACATGTGCTGGATCCAGAATGCCTTATCTGGACCATAGACCAGTCTTGTTCCACTCATCCAGCCCACAGGGCCAGATGAGTCTGACACCCGTGGTGCCCAAGCATTCTGGCTCTGGAGGCAGGATGAGTAGTGCAGGCAGGGGCTGTATCTGGTGAGTGGGATTGGTCCACAGGTTAGATCCAGCATGGGGTTGGTACACAGACATGATCCAGCACATGGCCTCAATGACATGCACCGTAGGCTGGATAATAGTTTCTTAAGCCAGACCTGGCCTGCAGGCTGTGGGTTGAGCACGCCTGGTACATACCATTTAAGTTAGTCTAAATCCTGAATTTTTTTAGATAATCAAAACTTCTGCGGAAATTCAGATTAAGAACTTCAGCATTTTATCATGCTCTAATACGTGTTACATGGTATGTGATGGCATGATATTTAATTTAATTGAATTTTTGTGCATCACATGCACCTGTTTTTAGTAGAGTGACTTTTAATATAATCACTAGAGGGATACTTGCCATTTAAAATGGAGAATTTTTGGATGAAAGTAATGTTTCTTTTGAAGTCAGTATTTTAAGGAGTTGTATCTAATTTTTGTTTACAATTATATGAGTTGCTTGTAAGTATTCATAAACACTTTCAGTTTATGTATATATTTTTTTTAAATGGCATGTAATTCTTGGATGGGGAAGAAGAATTTAAAATCTCACTGTCATAATGGTTTCAATCATAAAATCTTTCTCTTAGTAATTCATCAAGCTTTTGCCACTGGTAGCATTAGAACTTGCAGTACTGAGTCTTATAATAAGGGTCTCTCTCATGGGGTGAAGCTAGTTCTCCTATGTTGTGGCTGGTCGAGAAGCCTCTCACTTGTTAACATAATTTTTTTTTCTCATTTTGCAGAAAGTGTATAGGCAGCAACCCAATAGCAATATATTCTTTCTTGCAGACAGAACAGAAACACTATCTCAATGCAAAAGTAAGTTCTTAACAAATTAGCTAGGGTTTTCAACCTTTTTTAAGAAGTCTACCCCTTCTGATAGTGGCAGCTGGACATGGAGCGGAGCGGGGGGGCCACCATCACTGCCCTGCTTTTCCATGGCTGGTCACATGCAGTTCCATGGGCTGCTGACGGGCCTTGCATATGGCCAATTGTGTGCTGCCCATCAGCAGCCCACAGAGCCGCACATGCGATCAGCCATGGGAAAGTAGCATGGGGTGGCAGCTGCTTGCGAGCCTCTCCCACCCCTGCAAGGAGGCAGCAGTGCAGGGTGGTGGGTGGTGGCACTCCATCCCCGTCCACCTCTGTGTACCCCCTAGGACCTTTCCAAGTATCCCTAGGGGTACGTGACCTCCAGTTGACAACCCCTGAACTACTGTATCAAGCTGGTATTTTTGGTTGAGGATGTTAGAATATAGGGATGTAAACAGTTAAATGACAATTATATTTATACTGCTTACCACTTAGTGACCTCCAGCAGGAACAACCCCAGTCCCTCTTGTCTTCGCCTTGCTCCCAGTGCTGCGTGGGCCCCAGGCCACTGGCAGGGAGCTGCAGGCAGGAGGTGGCAGGGGGAG